TTAATGATCCCAATTACACATAATTTTTGGTATCGACTCTTATTTCCAATAAATAATGTAAAACAAACATTTGTTTTTTTTTTTCTCATCGTCCTTCTTGGGTCAATTTCCGGACTGGGTTGAGTGGAGGAAACGAAAACCTGCACTTGTTTAAGTTTAGCCAGGCTCTCAGCGCCCATGCATCAGTATGTCAAGCAGAGATCTGTGCGATCCTGGTATGTGCTCAGGTGATAATAGATAGGGCTTACTCAGGCAGGACCATCTCTATCTGCTCTAATAGTCAAGCAGCGCTAAGCACTTTGGAAAGTCAGCTCTAAGCTGGTTCTTGGGTGCAAGAAAGTACTGCCTGATGTTCTGATCAATAAGATCAACTTTATGAGTTCCGGGACCCACCGGTGTGGAAGGGAATGAACAAACTGATGACCTGGCAAGACAAAGCTCATCCACTCTGCACATGTCCTCTGAAAGTGTCCGCCACTGGACTATCAGAGGTGGAATAGATGTTCGTAACAGCAGGTAGAGCTCAGATTTGGAGCCTCTGCAGACTTTAGTAGATATGGGAGCCCAGAAACACTAAATACTAGGTTTTTATGATAGGGGTGATACTCTAGACCCTTCTTAGAAGGTCTAAGTGTCTGAAGGGCTCACAAATGGGCCCTGCCCTGATCTACCATAACCAACAATTGTTATTCCAGAATTTCAAAAAATTATGAAGTTGTCAAAACTGCTGGTAACAGCAGCTTCAGTAAAGTCTAAAAGTGTAACATAAAAATCTATGTGATAAACTTGTGGGGAAAGAGACAATAATATGACCCATCCACAAAAAGGGAGTTAAATAAAAGTATGAGAATTAACAGGTGTATTACTATTTTAGTTGTAACCTAGGTCTTCATCAGAATCACAAGAAGCATAGACAAATATAAGATAGGTGAATAGAGGATTCAAAAAAGGTGGATCTATCATTGTCCAAATTTGTGTCAAAAATTATGCAGAATAGTACGTATGAATAATTAAACTTAAACCAAATCTTTATCTCTTGGGGTTTTAACATTATTGTTTTACTTGTGTTCATTATTATTCAACTTTTATTCTGTATGAAATGATGTGTGTTCGTTGGAGAATTAAGTAACAAAACTCTGAAGGAAATGCACAAGTTTATTGAGTTGGTAACAGGTAGGGTCACATTAAACAAAGAAACCATCCGGCAATAACTCATTCTACTTTTGTTGTTATGAGAAGGCCGTAGATGAAGCGTACCACAAGGAAATCGAATTATATGTTGCAGTTTTTATTGATTAAAATCCCTTTATAATATGGATAATGAAAGCTCATATCTACTACTTGCCGTGTTACACTTCAATTTCGTTTAGTTAATCGCATTATCAAATGGCTTTACATTATTGAAATGAAATTTTCGAATAACCTCGTTATCTAACTTAATTTTTGGTTTTATTGGTTTCATTGACTTCAAGAACAACATATGTACCTGTATTTAATACCGATGTTGGTGTATTTGGATTTCTTGGTCTTTTAAGAGAATCTTATCTCCAACTGTAAACTTTACTACCATGGACGTATTATACGTCCATGTTTACTACCAAGTTGCTCGTTTTTAAGCTATCAAAACGGTTCTTTTGCTTTTTCCTTTGAACGCATTGTTTTTCCCTTATATTTTCTAACTGATTAATATACGAAATTTCATCAAATTTCCTATCATTTTTATATGGAAATACCTACTAAGCTGTAGGGGGTAGTGGATGTTAAATGATGTTTACTAGAATTATATGAGTGTATAGCGACTAAAAGTGCATCTTCTTAATCGCACTGGTTATATGTTTTAAAAGATAACTACGCAAAGTATCTGTTATGGTAGCATGGAAACGCTCAATTATACCGTTAGAGACATGGTACTCAGACGAAGTAAGGTGCGATTTGATATTTAAAGAATTAATAAAACTTTGCACCGTTTTATTATTAAATTCACCCCGTGATCTGATATAATCATCTTAGGAAGACCAAAAAGCGAAAAATAATTTTTTAATGTACTAATGATCGTTTCTGGGTTTTTAACGTAGTTAACGTCTGGATAAAGAAAACTGAGCATTTTATAATAAATATTTTTTTCAAAGTATTAAAATTCTCAAGGCAATGGTGTGGCTTAATTTTAACTATATTTCTACTACTATTTTCGTTATATAACTTTAATATTTTTTTAAAATCCGAGTCACCAACAGTGGGAAAATTATCATTGATAATTTCGAAATGATTTACATTTTTGTCATTTTCATCGTATAGATATAAAATACTCTTATTGTTAACGTCTAAGATTTGCTCATTAGAGTAGGAAAAATTATTTAAAACTAAGTCAGTTATAGTATTCTCAAATTCGGTATATTTATTTTGTTTTTGATAGACATGGTTTAATCGAATTTTTGACATAGCGTCTGCAACTCTGTTTGCTTTACCTGAAATATGCTGAATATCAAAATTATATACACTTAATTTCAGTCTCCATCGTGATAATTTAGAATTAGGATCTTTTAAATTTAAAAACCATATAAGTGGCCTATGATCTGTAACTAATCGAAATTTAACTCCAAATGGATATGGACGGAAGTAATTTGTAAAGTGGACAACAGACAGTAATTCCTTTTCTGTAGTGGAATATTTTATTTCCGTTTCATTTAATGTTCTCGATGCGAAAGCTATCTGTCGATCCTCACTGTTATCAGAAATCTGTGACACAACCGCGCCTATAGCAAAATTGGATGCATCGGTCATCAAAATAAATTGCTTAGAGAAATTAGGATAAGAGAGAATTTTTCAGAGGTCAAAAATTGTGTACTTTTGTTAAAGCGTTCCACTACTTCGGGTGTTACATGAAACTTTGTATCTTTCTTCAACAAAGCCGTTAAAGGTTTAGTTATATCAGCAAAATTATTTACAAACCTATAGTAGCCGAATAAGCCGAGAAATGATTCAGATTCAGTTTGATTTTGCGTGGCTGGAAAATCTAAAATAGCTTAAATATTTTTCGGCTCTGGTTTAATACCTTCCGGTGTTAAAAAAAATTGCCCAAGAAAGTTATTTCAGAAGTTAAAAATTTACATTCATCGGGTTCAATCTTTGAATTATTTTTTTGTATTACGAATTATTTCGATATTTTTAAGATGATCTTTGATAGTATTACTAAAAATTAAAATATCGTCCATATAAATGAAATATATTTTGTCTATGTGCTCTTGAAATATGTCATTCATCACTCTATAGCAAAGGTACTAGGAGAATGTGACCCATTCCAACAAGTTTAATAAACCCAAACTGGCTGAACTACCTGATCCTCCCCAAACCACCGCACACACTAACAAAAATACACATGATGACACAGCTTTTCCACTGTTACCCACACACAACACACCACCAAACCCTTTATCACCCCTGCCATTATCATCCAACCACTCATTCACACAGCCTACCCCACCAGCCTACACATCCCTGAAGACACAACCACCCCAGTAACGAACACATATACAGACTCATTTGTGACCGACCTAGTTTCCACCCTCCCAGTCTACCGGTGGATCGCTCAGTTGCAGCTGTCCCAGTCATCTGCCATCCCTCAACTACCCAAATCACACAAATCCAACCAACACCAACATTACATACCAATCCACCTCCTACAGTAAGTCACAAACCTACACACAACACAAACCTATCATATGCAACTGCCATAAATACCCCAGACCACAACCCCTCCCTCTCACTCCATTAGTGATGTAACAAATGTCATTTTTTAAACATTCGCGAATGCGAATATATGCCACCGACATTCGCGAATGCGAATATTCAGTTTTTTTTAATTTGGCAATTTTAATTGTCTCCGGCACTGCCGGCAGTCTCATTTGCGCGAGGTGTGTAGGCAATTGGAAAAAGTCTGTCATTTTTAACTGCTTTAAATTGTCCAGTATCATTCTATCATATTTGCTAAAGTAAAGATGTGAAACAGTTGTATTTATGTATTTATTGTAAAGAAGTTTATTGTAGGCGGTTAAGTTTATTGAGGGGTCATTTAAAAAGGTATTTATTTATAGTCACGTCCGGGCCAAAAACGTAGAAAGCACGTTTTTCGATCTTATTTTTTCTTGTTATAATCAAATTTGACTTGTTATAGAGAGAAAGTTATAGCAGAGAACTAAGTTCTCTGGTTATAGTTCCAATAAAAATTTCACGGGACACAAGTCACTTCACTTGCCCTGCTCTGCTTGTGCACAAATACAAGTAAATTTTTAGTGTGATTAGCGATTTTCTACTATGAGTAAATCAAATTATAGTGAAATATGGACTTATTTTTCACCACTTTTCGATACTGAACGAGCTAAATGCAAGCTGTGTAATATTCGTAAAACATTCGCACAAATTTTGCGAATGCAAATGCAAATGCGAATATGCAAATATTCGCGAATGCGAATATTCGTTACATCACTACTCTCCACCCCTTCTACCATAGGAACCCAACCCACCCAACCTAAATCTTTTAACTATACCATCACATACATTTCACTCCACTCAATGGGAATTCTTAAGAGTCATCAACACCCGAGAGTTTTTGCGTAATCAAATCAAAACACACATTCTGTATGAAATGATGTGTGTTCATTGGAGAATTAAGTAAAGAAACTCTGAAGGAAATGCACAAGTTTATTGAGTTGTTAACAGCTTAGGGTACAAAATGATACCAACTTAAAGAATACAAACTATTTCTTAAAACCTTTCATAGTCCTTGAACATATTGCTGATACCTAGAAATTATCAGCGTGGGTGTTTATCATCTCCAATGTAGTTTAAATATTGAAATAAAAACACACACAGTAGCGTGCTCACTATAACATTCATATTTCTTCTTTTTCTTGTACATCCCTCAATACTTTACAGGTGTTTAGTAAAAAATATATATGTAATATACTTATATACAATAGGAGAGTTTTAAAATATACAATTTTAATGTAGATATGATTTATTAACAAAAATATAATAAAACTTATAATGCTAATATTCAGAAACTTCTAAAGGTTGTATACCTAAGTTATCTTCTAAAGATTCAGATTTATTATTTAGTAACTGAAGCTTAACATAATTCTCAACATATTTCAAATTCTTAAATAACCCTTTAACATGAGCATTTATCTGTTGAATGTCTGTATTAAACTCATTTGTTAAATCTAGATACCTTTCTATAGTGCTCCGAATTTGTTCTGATCTTTCACTTATGAAACTATTATCTACAATAGGTAGTTCTAATGATTTGCTATTTAACAATGTCGCAACTGTAGTGAAAAATTCTGGTAAATTCAATTTCTGTTCTTTTTGGCAATTAGATGTTTTTTGTGAATTCACAGTATGGTGCAACACTAAATCATTACTTAACAAGTATTCATGAATAGATTTACAATCTTCTAATAAACTGTGAATATTTGAAAGTCTGTTCCAAAGTGAATTCAAAGAAACAATTTTATCTTCGAGGCTGTTTATTGAAGGATACACAGTATATTTATTGAAAAATTCCTCTTCTGCTGTCAACTGAACCTTTTTTGCAGTAGAAATACTTTTTTGCAAATCAGTTAAGTTTTTTACCAGTGAATCTGCAACATTCTTTTGTTTATTACAATCTTCTTGAAACTTCTCTAATGTTGTGTTAATTCTAAGTTTAACTTCAAAAGTAATTCTGTTTATACTATCAAACTTTGCTTGCATTAGAGTGGTATTTGTGCTCTGTATTGGACAATATAATAATAGGGCTCTACTATTATTCTGTAGATATTCAAATATAACTAGCTGTGATAATTTTAACATAAATTTTGTAAATTTGAATCCACCAGGTGAAATTAAATGCGAGGACATAATAGGAGGAATATTTGCATGTGTATAATGGATATTTAACTCATTAATATACTTTAATAGTTCACTACGAAATTTATTTTCTCCCTTAATATCATAAGGACGCCATGATTTTAACTTCTCTTTTGTTAATTCCCGGTTCAGAGTATCCAACAAGTAATAAACAACTTCATAAAAAGCTGCTTTGTTGTTTTTAACAAACATATCTTTCTTAAAAACCCTATTAAACTCTGAATTAGTTTCATACACTTGTGATAATAAATATAAATTATTATAAAGCTCTTCGTGAACCTTTGCTTCAATGTATCTAAATGTTTTTACTTCTGACATGTTGTACGATAATGTAGAAGTGTTTAATAATATTTATATTCCAATAACTATGGGAGTGTATTTTGTAACAGAACAATGAATGTTTTGATTTTCAAACGTCTAAAATTTGAATTGAAATTTTTGAACAAATTGTCAACATCAAGATGTCAAAGACTTCTTCGTTGAACTTAAACAGGAGACAGTCCTTATGTGTGGGTGGCTGTATACAATGGTTTTAAAAAACAATGAAGTGTGGAGCTTCTAATGTAATTGGTGTAAATTATATATATATAATTACATAAGAATTTAGGAATTTACAAATCATCAAGTGTTTTTACTTCCTCTGTATTAAAATACTGCTGGTTAATTCAAAGATTCATATTGAGCTGTATACTTGTATAGATAATCAGTCACGGTATAAGTTAAAAAAAAGAAGAACACGTTCTACGGTTTAAAAAAGAAACACACTTTTTTTTAACCTAAAAATATTGTTTCTTTGGTTAGAGCGCGTTTGAACCACGTTTGTTTATTTTATATTCTCTAATCCTCAGTGAAGCGAAAAGTCGCAGAGAGGACAGAGTTAACAGTCTTTGATCATTATAGTATAAAAAAGAATTGTCTTCATCATCAGAATGGTAAGTAAATTAATATTTCTCATACTTGTAACATATCATTAATTATCACTATTATTAGGCAGAAGAAATCAATCCAAAAGCTTATCCATTGGCCGACGCCACATTAACAACAAAAATTTTAAATCTTGTCCAGCAAGCTATGAATTACAAGCAGTTGAGGAAAGGAGCTAATGAAGTTACAAAAACCCTTAATCGAGGTATAGCTGAATTCATAGTTATGGCAGCTGATGCAGAACCATTGGAAATCTTATTGCATTTACCCCTTTTATGTGAAGATAAAAATGTCCCATACGTTTTTATCAGATCTAAGCAAGCATTAGGACGAGCATGTGGGGTTTCAAGATCTGTGATTGCATGCAGTGTTACAATTAATGAAGGTTCACAATTGAAACCTCAAATTCAGACGATCCAGCAGGAAATTGAACGCTTATTAGTATAAGTTTTGAGTACAAAAATATAAAATTAATTTTTATGTTTTCTACATTTTTTCTAAATATAAGATTTAAGAAATAATAGGTAGTTATGATTTATAAGTATAGAATAAGAGATTTCAAAAATTACAGATTTTCATTAATTCAGATATCTACAGAGAATGTACTTTTGTCTGAATTTTAAAATAATTCAGCCCTAAAATTTACTGTTTACACTTGAAACATTGAATGTAATGTAGATGTTTCTTTTATCTAATCCTTATTTTGATATATTTGATTTGTTTTGATTGGGAGAATTAATTTATAGACATACTTCAGCTAATTGGCTAATTCTATGTTGTGTAATTGCTTTGTTACTAAGTAATAAAGTAAGCTTCATTGTTTTTACAAAGAGTCACTTATATCTTCTTTTTTTGTTACATTGCATGTTTACAATCTACTTTGTACACAGAGCAAAAAGTAAATAGTCTGTAAGTAAATTAACGTGAGTTAAGCTGTATTTATAGTTTGATGGACTGTAGACGTAGACGCACTGGAGACGTAACAAATGGACTGTAAATATTATTTCATTTTATAAATTGATGGAGTGGAATTTTTTGCACATGGATAGCAACAGTGGCTAGAGTTGGTAACCATGATACTATAATATCCTTCTATTATTTATTATTATTATTATTTAATAAATTCTTAATGTCCATTGTAATAAATAATCAACAAAATCAAAATTCGAATATGTTTATAAACAACTTTACAAAATGGTGGGCGGGCCAGACAATTCACTTTGGTTGATGGCACAAAATTATTCCTTTTGATTGGCCAGACGCAAGTAATGCACTGTAAAAGATGAAAGTTGGCCAACTCTTCCATTGCAGTGCGTTTCATTTACGTTCTGTCATGTGTTTACGTTTATTTATAAATAAGAGTACACAAAATTCAGTGTTGATATTTTTCCGGTGTGTCTACATTTACGTCCGTCAAACTATACATCCAGCTTTAGGTACCATCCATTGATGGTTCTCTTCCATATGACCAAATTGGTATAAGTATACCTTTGTACAGAAGCAATTTATTTTCAAGAGATAACTGAGACCTTTTATTAAATAGCCAGTTCATATTTTTTAACTGGTTTTATAGGAATGGGAGTATTATTAATATAAACTTGTGGACATGTAGATTTTCTTATGTGTGTAGATTGTTCTGATCTTCCATCACTTCAGCCTGTTTTGTAATTGATCTAAATGATTTTGTACTTTTTGTGATGCTAGATTAAGGTCAATATCTACTGCCAAGATTCCTGTTTTATCAGCAAATGTAGCTAAGAAGGTATCATTGTAGCTGGTTGGAACATCTGCTGTAAATATCAAATACAGAAATTGGCCCAAAATGCTACCCTGAGGTATGCCAGATTGTATGATGTAATTTGAGTAGCTGTCTTTAATTTTGACTTGGAAGTAACAGTCAGTAAGATATGATTTTAGTAAGTATAGTTGGTCTGTTAAGTGTAATTTCAGTTTGTAGAGGAGACCATTATGCCATACTCTATCAAATGCCTGTTGTATGTCTAGAAACACTAAAGTGCAAAACTTTTTTTTATTTAAGAGTTGTTTTAATTATATTTATTATCACTTATTATATCTAAAGACCAATTGATACCTACCAGTGAGTACAAAGTTGACAAAGAAGTAAATTAAATTCTCTTTTCCATTAAATTTGAACTCACAACCGAGTTTTTATGCTCAATAAGCTTTGTTTGACTTCTTGGCGGAAATAATTGACCACTCTTGTATTTTTCTTTAACCAATGTGTTCCCTTAAACTGTATACTTCTTATTTCACACAAATTATATAGTAGTGAGCCTTTCCAACACATTTGTTTTTTAAGTTCAATCTGCAAGAAAACTCCATTGCAAATGCTATGCAATAGTTATTTTTACCCAATTCCTGTTTGTGATGTTTATTTTCTGATATTTTAGAATAAAAAACACCAAGTTTCTTAACATTTATATAATCATGTAACAACATATAAAGTAACAACCCAAAACATTTAAAATTGCAGTTTGATACAAAAGATCTATAGATATGCATATTAAAATTTATTGAGAGTTTGAGTAAACAAAAGATGCTATTAATCTTTTCAATTTATGATTAGTAGAAGTTGTCTTTGTACAGTGAACTTACTCTTACAATTTTTTTATTTTTAGTTATTTTGAATTGTAAAAAGGACATTGCATTAAAATGCAGTTTGTTTTTAGGTTCATTCAAGAAAAAAGAGTGATAAAATACAGGGTGATGCATTGAAAATACTGAACAAATAATGAATTTGTGTTTTGACTTACTGTTTATTAGATTTAAATAGTATTACAGAGATCAATCATGTTTATGAATTTTGACATTCTTAAAAAACTATGATATTGAAACTTAGTGCGATTTTCATTGAAATTTATAACTTTTTAAAATACTCTAAAAAATAACACAAAACAACTTTGTATTCTTGAAAAGAGGAAGTAAAGCTTTTGAATTTAAAATAAAATACATGGTGCTTCATTTAAAAAAAAGCTATCTTTAACAATGAGTGAGGATAATTTGATATAAACTGTATTTTAATTTTTATACAACTTTTGAAGACTTAACTTGAATCATTTGACCATTACAGTGAATCAGTACATTCCGAACTGTATGTTAGCCATGCTTGTGCAAGTCATTTATTTTATTTGGGGCTATATTCTAAGGTAGATTCTAGATTATTTATAAAAAAAACTCAAGGGCAAATGCTTTCAATAAAAATATTTGGTAATTGTTTGATACATAAATAGATGAATATGATATTTATGAATGAATTGTGAAAAAAACATCTGGCTCAAGGTTACATGGTTTTGTAGCAAATTTGCATCAGTCAAAAATTGCGTTATATATAATCTGTTATTGTAATGGTTATAGATATACCATAATAATAGATTTTACTTATTTCAAATAACCCAAAAGTACACTTTAATTCATACAATGGTGTACATAGGATGGGACTTATAATTCGTGGAATTATTTCTTTTATAGATCTACTTTGGATGGAAAAAAAAGACAAATATATTGATGAAGCACAACTGACACCAAATGACAGTTGTCTTACTGATAGTGACGATGAGAATGATGAAAAATCACAAATATTGGAGCAGAAAGTATTAGGTTCTGAAGAGGAAGTAGACAATTACAGTGATGTAGTTGCAAGCAACTTGTTGAACCTAACAATAGTGCTAATGATATACAGTCCTTTCTTGAATCTTTCTGTTAGAAGGAATCAAACTGTCAGTAAATTATTTTCAATATTTTTTACAATGAGATTTAGTTGACCAAAGTAACTTATTTGCAACTCAGCAAAATCTGAATGTCCTCCTGTATCAATCATTAAGGTTATCACAGTTTGAACTATAACAGTTTTTTGGAATTACTATTTACATGTCTGTATTTGGTCTTCCAAAGACTCGCATGTTTTGGGCATCTAGTAACTCAGGTTACAGATGTAATGAGTAGGGATAGGTGGGAAGAAATATGTAAGATAACTTCAAGTAAATGATAATACTGAAGCACCTGAATGTACTGATCAAAATTGTGATAAATTACATAAAATTAGGCCACTAATAGACAAACTATTAGAATCCTTACAGATTTCCCAAGAGCAAATTCTCAGTGTTGACTAGCAGATGGTTCTGTTCAAGGGACAATCATGTTTGAAGCAATATCTTCCCAATAAACCATAAATGGGGTCACAAAATATTCATAATTTGTTGTAGCAGTGGACTTGCACATGTTTTTGACATATTTACTGGTAAGATTGAGAAATCTCCACATATTGTAGACTTGGACCTATTTAAAATGTTATTTTGAAATAACATTAGACCTTAGGAAAAAATCTCATAATTTATTTTGATAATTGGTTTTCGTCTCTAAAACTTCTTGTGGACCTTTCGATATAAGGTTTTCAAGCTTTGGGGACGATATGAGTAAATAGATTTCCTGGTTTGAATTTCAGTTCTAAACAAATATGAAATTTATATGCCATAACAAGTAATGTACTTGATATATGCAGCAACATGATAAATGGCGTATTGTACCTTACTCAAGGAAATGATAGCACCAACTGCTATCACCAACATACAGGAACCACAAAATTGATAATACAACCTTACTGCATTCAACCACTGTCTCGGTCACAACACTCAAACGAAGTGTCAGGTACTTTTAACTCAAAACGCATACACATATGTGTGGTTTGAGAGATAAAACTTGACTGATTTTGTAGATGGAATTGTAGGTCCCTTATCTCACACACACACACATCTGGTGTTATTTCGCAGATGGCTCGTTCTTGTAAATTAGGTCTGAAAACCCCTGTACCCTTGTATACATTTAAATGTACTACAGGGAGAATCAAAACTAACAAAAAGTCTGTTAATATTACATAAATGGTTATACATATATCATTTCTCACTTAATAGATATTGCTATTGTCAATGCTTGGCTCCTATACCTACGCAACTGTAATTCTTTGGGAGTGGGAAAAAAGCAACACACGGATCTGCTCAAATTCCGCACTAAAATAGTAGAATTGTTGTGTTGGGAGGGAAAATATATAGGTATTCACAAAAGAAGTCAACTGTGTACTGGACCGTTATAAAACGATTATGAAAAAAGAAGAAGAGAGATTCAACTTCACTACTTACTTCGTAAAATATTATAACATATGGAGTTGTGACTGGCCTGTAATCAAAGATGCAAGAAACAAAATAATGGAAGTCAAACCAATTAGACTTGTGGAAATGGTAATGTAAATATATCTAAATAAACATTTAAATTGTTTTAAACAATTTCATACAGAATAATTATATGCACTATGGATTAAAAAACAGTATGTATTTTGATTAATAAATTCAAAGCTTTGATGACAATAGTATCGAATTTGCATCAATCCCCCTAAAATATCCCAATAACATTTTTTGAACTTTTCATTACTACAATTTCTTGATTTCGCCATTTTTAATAACATTAGAGTATTTAAATTTTTTTATATAAATTTGGTCATTAAGGGTTAATGTAGTACAATGTTATGGAAGACCCTGTTTTTGTGAATAGTTTTGGTATCTCCTATAATAACAGATATAACAGACTTCGTCACAAAAGTTGATCACCCTGTATACATCACATTAGGCTAAGAAAAACATTATTTCATTTAAAATATTAATTCGAGCAATATCATATTATACATTTTTTTAGACTTTTTACCTAACACTTATAACGATTGAATAGCAACTTTGTTTTTTGAAAATTGTATAACTCCATATTCTCCATTGTGCATCCATTTAGGATCCTTTGCTTCGATTTCCTCCGCGATGCCATTAGGAATACCAACAACAATATCAGCTTTGATAGTTCGAATTATACACAACTTTGATGGGTGAAATGATTGTAAACCTGTGTCGACAGAAGTTGTTGGATCCCAGTTTTTTTCCCCAAACAATTTTCTATAATTCAAATCCCCTTTGAAAAATACTGCTTTAGCTTCCCCTAATTTCTTGTACAACTGTGGATCTACATCTGCCATGTAGGTAAAATCATATGGTAGTGTCCAAAAATTTGAAGCGACTATTGTCCATATTCCATCTTCAACATATTTGGACCACCTTTGTCCTAATACTTGTAGATTATGATTTTCGCTAGCTTTTAATTGGTTTATTGTCCAATAAAAATCATGCTCCATGACGTCTGATATGAACCAAGGTATAGTTTTTACATACAATCGCATTGATTTTGCTAAACCTTTTGTTATTATGTAATCTGCTACACATAAGTCAGTGAATACTTCATAGCCAGAGTTATCAAAAACAATATCTGAAAAAAAAATATCAATTTAATCTCAAGTCAACTTAATTTTATCCTTTAGCTACAGAACAATTAAATTATTATTGTTAATCAATCATTAGTTCTTATACATGGTTGTCCACCCAAATATTTGGCAATATTCATTGTATTTTGTGAAAAGTCTTGTCAAAAAATATAGACACATGTCATTTGTTACCTTCTCCCTTTCAGTACAATAAATCCTTAATTTTAAATACGGAATAGACCACGTGTGGCAAATCAGTACACAGGTATTTCACTGGAGAAAATTCAAGCATGCGTTTTCTTTTCTAACGGTTCTTTTTAACTATGTTAGTAAATGTATGTAAATTTAAATATTAACCCATTGCCTGGTAACCTTCAAATTGGTATATAACAATTTATCTTCTTCAAGGTATAGATTCTGTAAAACAGAAAAATGTAAGTACACTGTAACTCACCTATAATATCAGAACTTTTATCTGTCGATATGCCTTCCCAAATTTGTTTGGAATGGTCACACAAAATGTAAGGATCTAAAGCAGCAGTATCAAAAAGCGATGACATATCACTTGCTTTTCCTAATGATAAAGACAAATCACATTTGTTTCCCCATAAATTGAGCTGAAATTAAAAAGATTAAATGAATAATAGTTTTAATTCTTAATAAGTCTTATTAATAACATATAATATTGCTAATCTTGGACCTTAATGTGTAATAAGAAGGTAAGGCTTTGAAGAAGTGACATTTATTTCCTTTGTCAAGCTGATCCATGCACAGTTACGATACACACATTTTTATTAGAATTACAGAATCCTATAAGAAAATGATATATTGGAAAGACAAGATGATTTGAGACAACAATAGATCAAACGGGTTTGGCAAGTTTTTTCATTTATGTAATTGTTTATAAGATGCCTACTAAAGATTTTAGAAATATTTTCGAATTAATCAAATGTGTTTGCATTAGTTTTAAACAAAATATGGAATAAAGACTTATTTACAACTTCATTAATTTTTAAACTGTTTGTAATAATAATGACTCAAAGAATAGAGATAAAAATTCATTACTTACTTTTAACATGTGAATAAATTCATTTTGGTCTGCTGGGTTTTTATTGTTAAGAACATGTAAGACATGTTCACTCATATTTTCTATTAATTGAATGGCTCCTGTGTATGCATCCTGCTTCTGTTGTTCAAAATAATCATATTCCTTAAGATGGGGTCTAAAATTTAAAAATATATGTGTGACTGAAGATTAAGGGAGTGTGTAGCAAAAATGTAATTGTAAGCCATGCAAAAAAGTGATGAATTCGAAGAGAAAAGTTTTAAGTTATTATATACTATAAAAAGGCATATTTTGACATATTTAAAAGTATAACAAATATGAAAAAGCAATATTTACTCTCCACAAATAAAATGTCTAGGTAAATCTACAAACAATCATAGAAACTATAGGAAATATTGGTGACTGCCTTCTTATGGTCCTCTTCTGTGTTGAGTCATGTTACCACTGAATATATACTGGATTTTGCATGTTAAGTTAAATCCAGGAGGGTTGTCTATTATGTGGGACATAATGCTGTTGGGTTGAGATTTAAACCATTTATGGATTTTTTCGATACATTGAATTCCGTACTTTTAGCTGTTTCTACAGTTTTCCTAGTTGATTTTTGTTTATGTCATCAATATAATAATATGTGGCTAGTTCCCTGTGATAGGGAATCTTGTAGTATATATAGTGTGTTAAGTTAATAGAGGTATGACGGCAGAATATTCTGTAGAAGCGAAAACCATTGTGTTGAAATGGTTTTAATTACTTCAGCAATTTACTAGAAGAGGTTATCAGGGCTCTTTCATTAAAAGTAAACAAGATAAAAAAGGAGCCAATGAACTGTTGAGTACTACTTTATCTCCAAACATATGACAGCCACATATATTAAGAGAAAGACAGTCACAATTTCTAGAATTTTACGATCATCATGTGGTATATTTGTGGAAAATGAAACACAACAATTTAAATCTTGAAATAGCACTAAGTAAAAAAATTTTCTTAGTACACATTAAAATAAAAAAATGTTTGGAAGCAGAAAATCAAGCTACTAAAAGTGCATACACGTAATTGTGATTAAAATAAAAACCTATGTATACCAAGCATTGCAAATATAACACAATGAAAAACTAGATGTAAGAAACGATGAAATTTAGATGTTTATCATACTTTGTTTCAAATATCTGTTTTATCCTTCTATACATGTAACATTCCGTTAACAGCCAGATAGTATGAAAATGAGTAGTATGTCCTTCAGCAACACTTTGCTTCTTAATATATTCATTATAAATGTTTACATCTGGAGCATTGCCAATTAATAATTTTAATGGTTTATTTGTTTGGACCTCATATTTAAACTCTGATATTTCTCCTATAATTGTTTTCAACTCATCTACAGCTTCCTAAAATATAGAAAACTTAAGTACTAATATTTAACAAGCTATTCACAATTTGAATTAAAAATGGATATGCCACTTAATTATTAAAGTATTTTTTTTTTAATTTTATGTGTGGCTTGCATTTTAGCATTCAGTTAAATTTGCTCCTCATTAATTCTTCTAGTTTCCCGACAACTCATTTATTACAAGACAAAACTTGTAAATTTAACTTACATTTCCATATTTTTCTTTAATTTCTGATTTATGTCTCACTAAATTGTCTATTAGGTTTGTTAAGATCACTGGCATTCGATGTTTAACCGTGTAGAACGCAAAACTCCTGAAAAATAATATATTTATTTAAACTTGCTCAATGTCAAAAGAAATACAAAATCTTACCTTTTATAAAAAGCGGAAAGATATACATTTCTTGGAGTTTTCAAATCCAAACTACAGTTTGAACCGCAATCGCAGGTTTTAACTGGCAAATTGTCAGACATAGTTAATAAAACTTCCTAACTTACGTTAAAACCTTAAACTCTAATAATATCTAATATCATATGACCTCTAACTGTTTAAAGATAAGAAATAATTTTTAAAAATCATTATCATTATTTTCTAATCTTTTAGGTTATCCTATAATCTTCTTCTTGTTCTTTTTTTGGGCTATGATTATCCTATAATCATAAAATAATTATTAAATTCCGAAATCTAGTGCCTATTTCTATTAAGTTGTACAGTGAATACTTTCTTTGATAGGCTAGCTCCATGATTGTACCATGGGTTAGCTCCGTCACAGCACAAAATAATCCTCTATAATAATAAATAATCCTCCGTTGAGGACATTTTTTACATGTTCTATTACGGTCGGAGTGAAAATAAAATGAAAACGTTTTTTTCTTGTGTTGGTTTATTGTCTCTATGAAGACCTTATTTCAAAAAGAAAAAAAGAAGACCTGTCTATCAATTCTTTGATATTGACAGTTGACACTGACACTCACACACATGAAATCCGCATTCCGCAACGACAACATAGAGACAGTATGATGTGTATGTAAATAAATTTAAATATTTTTAAGTAAAACACTTTTAACGTGTTATGATCATTGGTTATCTATCCACGATATCAAATAATCTCTACGTTAGTGATGTCGTCAGCTTCAGTGAGTAAATAAACATTTATCTGATCGTTTCAGTTCAGTATCTAAAAATTGATTTTCGCTTTTCAGATGCCTCTCTTAGAGGATACCACAGCCTTTGGCGAAGATGAGGGAGAATTTGGTGTTAAAAAGGATGCTTTAGCGTAAATATATTTATATTATATATAATAAATATTTATGAAAAGTGGAAACATATAGGTTTGAAATTATTCTTCCACCTTTACATACTTATTACTGTTTTCTTAAAAAGGTTTTAAAAAACTTGTTTAATTGCTAATCAAACTTTAAAGATTTTATTTTTAGTCATCCATATAATACATTTTATCATATAAAAACAAAAAAGAGTAACCATAAAGAAAATACAGAAACTAATAATTCCATGAAAAACTTTCAGAAAATAATAAATGACTATGGAGAGTACCTAGTATTATTCTGTAGACTCTTACAACATTTTAGAACAAAAAAGAATATCCAATTATACCATAACAGAAAAGGTATAACACTGCTAAGGGAGATATGAAATGTTGAAGTGACTTTTAAGGGCATATTAAGATTCATAAGACTTACGATATATAAAAATTCAAGTTCAAAAAGAGACTGAAGGACTACTAATAGAAGAATATAACATAAAACCTAATAAAAGAAGAATATCATAGGTATAAATATATAAATCCTTATGGATTTAACCCAAAATAAAATTCGGTCTGTTTTCTAAATATATGATAATATAACAGTCTTTCTTCCAACTTACTTTTTGAGATGGGTATATAGTTTATTAAAACCATTACGAACTTTTCATAATTTCTCTTTGAACTTAGAAATTTACCTAAGTATATCTGTAAATATCACAATTTTCCTAAAAAAAATGCTGATTGGTTCTTTACGAATTATTGTTTTGTTTTAGGCATCCATACATAACATTTTTTCACTTAGCTTTCCGTGGAGCTGCCATAGTAGCATACTTATTATGTGAACAGTTTACTGCAAGTTTTATAACAAGTTTTGTTAGTGTAATTTTATTATTATCAATGGACTTCTGGACAGTAAAAAATATAACAGGAAGGTTAATGGTTGGATTAAGATGGTGGAATTATGTGGATGAGGATGGCAAATCTCATTGGGTATTTGAATCTAGGCAGGTAAGATTTTAACAAGAATAATATACCTAGTAAAAGTAATGTAGTTTCTTCTTTAGTTAATATATAATAGTATTCTAATACAATTTGATATTGTGTGATATCTTACAATCCTAAAAAGAGTACAATTTTGGAATGTAGAAGATACTAGATACCTTCCAAAATGCAAAATCAAATCATTAAAATTACTTAAATAAAGAGTTAAAGCACAAGTAAAAATGTATGTATATACATATATACACAAAGAAAGTAATAGAAATTTATGTTATCCAGAAACAAGCCAGACTTATGTAACTATGGACTGAACACTTCTCCTAGTACAGGGGAATAAGCAAAAAAGACCCTGTTCGGAACTGTGACAAATCCAGATATATGACAATTTTTTAGTTATTATGCCATTCTTTCATTTTTTGCTTACCACTGAAAAGCTTAATATTTGAGGTAAAATTACAAAACTTTTTCTTTTGTAAGTTGTAAACTTAACTTGTTGCTTCAAAAACTGCAAAATAAGGTAAAAACGTTATTTGTTTGTAACTATTGTAAAAATCAACCTAGGCATCTGTTATTCCACCCTAAGTTGGGTATTGTGGTCATTTTTTTGCAGTGACATTAGTCAGAAAATAATGAAGAGACAGTAATTCTTGCAGACCAAATGAAAGTTTAATAATTAAACTGTATAGTTAAAAAATAAAAAAAAAATTTACAATGCAAAACCCTTTTGCAAGATTACAGTTAATTTTAATTTATAAACATTTAGAATACTTTTTAAACTATTGCTAGTAGAAAAATCTTTGAATTAAAAAAAAAAGTTGTTTTACTATAATTTGGGTCAAAGTTATTTTTTTTTAAACTCACCTTTAATTTGTTTATAAAAATTAAGAAACGAAATTGACGGCATTGAAAAAAAGAGTTGGTAGTTTTTTTACAAAAAGTTGTACAAAAATTGCACTTTAAAATGATCTATGAATTGTCAAAATTATGGTTCAAATTAAGACTAGTAGTGGTGAGTATAGAGGAACCCACAAATCTAAGTGTTCAAAAAGTGAAAATGCATCTTCAAACTACTACAGTTTTTTATATCTCCAGATCTACTCAACTGATTTTGATCTTTCTTCTTTAATTTGTATGTTCTCTTTACATACATTTCAAATATGGGACTCTTTTATAAATTAATTATTTAATAAACAGTGGAATTTGTTTAAACAATTTATATGTTTAAACAATATATTTTTTATAATACTACATTGTTAATGATAGGAAAAGTATAGAAAAAATAAAATACTGGTAAAAAAGGTAAAATAATCCAATGCCTGGTGATGATATATGTGGTAGCTCACTTGTAACATAAATTTTAATTATACTGCCGTTTTTGTCACACTTTATATACTTATTTTTTTTTAGAACAAAGTAAATGAACGAGAGGCTCGCATCTTCTGGGTTGCCTTGGTTATAACCCCATTATTGTGGTCTTTTCTATTTATTGTGGGATTATTTGGATTTGAGTTTAGGTGGTTGGTAAGTTTCTTGTATTATTGTTTTATTAAAATGTTTATTAAAATATGAGCAAACATGATTATTTGAAATATGACTAAAAACCTAGAATTTAAACTTTCTGTTCCAAACAATAGTACATTACAGGAGTTGTCTCCACAAAGATGATATTGGGTGAAATTTGTATCCTAAGTTGTGTACTTTCGCAAAATGTAATAGAAAAAAAAAGTTTGAGATAGTTTGTAATGTGAAAGTTGTAATTCAGTGTTTTTTAGGCATATTTAAACTGCCCTATATTTGTTGCCAAAACTCAAAAAAATTTAATCACAAATAAAAAAATGATACATATATATTAATGATTCTTCTTAGGTTTCTCCATAACGCTAAAATATTGTATAATGTTAGCTCAAACATATTTAACTTCAGAAAGTTCAATATTGTCTTCATTTTGATCTTTCGCAGGTTATAGAATGCTGATGTAGATTAGAATGGTTGAATCTTTTCGACTTTGCAACCACTTCCATTGGTTAAAATAGTACCTAAACCTTCTCTTCCATACAAAAAAAGTTCTGTTGCATATCTCTGTATAATATGGAATTCAAGAAATTTTCTTCATGGATTGTTTAGTGGACTCCTTAAAAGCGACTTCACTGTATAATCAGAATCTCCAAGTAACAACCCATTTATGTTATCTCCATTTAAACTTTCTTTTTAATTATCAAGATTATGAAAACATTGAATGTCTAAACTAAGTGAAGAAAAAGAGGTAGAATACAGAACACCTACTTTTATAATTTTTTATTAACATCTGTTTATAATATATTCTCAGAATATAGATCACTGTTGGTTTACTAAACCTCTTAAAAATGTCTCTACCATTACAAAATTCTCTCACTAAGTTTATCAACATTAAACATCATACTCTTCGATTTTATTAAATCTTCTAATACCAGATCCATATCGCTCACCCACAATAAACAACAATATTTACATTATATTTTTGATTTCGTGATAACCTACAACATAATAGCAGACTACAATGAACACAATTTATCTTCCGGATAACTTCTTATTCTGTACTTTATTTGGCAAATAAATAAACCTAAATTAGCCTAAATAACCTAGACAGCCTAAAGGCTATTGATTATGTAGTTTAGAAAAGAACTACAACATTAAAGGGGTTTTATTGATTCATATGGTCAATGGACCCCTAAATATGAAAAAACCGCGAAATTCTGCCGCTGGTCAAAAGCTATCGAATTTTTACCTTGGAGTTGATTCAAATTTTATTTAAAAATTGATTTCGCACATATTTAAAATCGCCGGTTGCTTCAAGCGTTGTTTCTGAGAGAATGATTCATTCTACAGAAAAAGTGCTAATATACATTTTTGTTCAATTTCTCAGCCCCTTTAAAGTTGTTATTACTTTTAGCCCTATTTTTTTTTTAATATAATCGAATATAATCTGATTCCAAGACTTTTCTTGACCTCTTATCTCGTCCATGATGGGTCTTCTCCAAGTTTGTACTGGCGACCTCTTTTTCTTCTTCCTTGGGGATTCCTCTCTAGGGAAATCTTTGCAATACTGGAATTATTTTTTCTAAGTGTGACCAATCCAACCCCACTTCCTGGACTTTATTTGATGTTATACCCTTTTTTGTTCGGTCAGGTGTAGTAGATCTTCGTTTCTGATGATAGTAGGCCAGAAAATACGAACAATTCGTCATAGACATTTATTAATAAAATCCTGCAGTTTATCTGTAAGGGTTTTTGTCACTTTCCAGGTTTCATATCCGTACAGTATAACAGACATGACGTTTGACTGGAATATGCGGGTCTTTGTCCTTGTAGTATACTCGCCAGATCTTCAAACAGGGTTGAGCATGCTGAATGCTCGAACGATTTCCGAAGTGGAAATTGAAACGTCAATAAATGTACTTTAACCTTTATTGGTGACTTATTCTCATTTAAATAGTAATTACTCCATCTTTTTGATATGGCGATGTGGTCTATTTGATTTTCTCTTATATGACCTGGTACAGACCATGCAACATTGTGGATATTTTGTGGGAAGATGGTTCCACTAATAACTAAGCTATGATTGGAACAAAATTTGTAAAACGCTCTTCGTTTTCATTCATTACTCCCAGGCTGTTTGCCCATTACGGTTTCTCCGTCATATATGTCCGAAACATAATTATAATAGCCTAAAATCAGCTTTATCTTAACCTCTTTAACGTTTTAGTTCCTTTTAGCCCTTTTTTTGAATATAATCATAACAGCCTAAAAGTTCAGTTGTAATTGATATGCATTGACAACTTTTGAGTCTATGTATATTATCCACGTGGTTGAAGTCTTTTTGGTTTAATGATATTAAAAATATCCAATTAATTATGTAATCCTTTATTTCTCACATATCGTAAGATGCACTGAGTATCATTAATTTTAACAAATGTTATGTTTTAGTTGCTAGTAACAATTGCATTGATTTTAACTGGATCCAATCTGTATGGATACGTGAGATGCAAGGTTGGAAATAAAGAAAGCGTCAGCAGTTTGACCTCGGACTTTCTTAGAAGACAAGTTCTACAAAACGCGGTCTCTCTAATGTCGCGTCAACCTGCAGCTCAACCAGCACCCAGCCAGCCAAACTTGCCAACAAATGTAGTCTAATTATAGATACAAAAATAGTTTGAGAATGGATAAATAAACTATTATTATTAGGGTCTATTTACGAATATAAAAAAGTAGGATCCTGGTCATTCGAAGCAACGGGGAATAACTAAATACCAAAATCAAAAACTCTACGAACTGTGTACTGTGAGGGGCAAAATTATGGAATAAATTAACTTTATCTAATTTTATTTCTTAAATCTTGTAAATTTTGTGGTCGATCGTTGTCAATTCAGTTTGATTTTTTGCTTTTGGCTACTAAGAATACTACTTAAGCAAAACTACGGTTAAATCGGGACGCATTTGAGTGAGTTAAAAACTTCTTCAAGTGTTTTAATAATAGACAAAATTAGGGAATAATTTGCTTCATTTAATTTAATACATTTTAAGAAATCACTGGGGATGATGTAGATTACCAAATTTACAAGATTTAAAAAATAGAATCAGGTAATCATAAATATTATCATCATCGCTTTAAGTATTGTCAAAATACAGGCAGATGGTAATTTGTACATTTAATTTAAGCCAAGAGCAATTTTTATTTGTCAAATAAACATTTGTTCTGTTTCCCCACAGCAGTAAAATGCATCTTGTATTAAATAAACTATATACATACTCGTAGCTGTGTAAATTAATTTAATTCACAAATTAAATATTTTTTGACCACCCTGTATAAATAATCATTGTACTGTTTATAAGACTGAATAGAAAATTGAATATCTTTTCAAATGAGCTAGCAAACAATTCCCAATTATTATTTAACAAATCATCGATTACGTCCCATATGGATAACACCACTAGGATGATAAAGTACATCCCAGAGGTACTTTTCAGTTCGTCATTAATTATGATGTCATAGAATGAATTAGGTATGTCGAGAATTATTTCATATAATTATTGAAGAATCTGACAGACGCCAGGATTATACTTAGCCACAGGGAGTAATCCCGTATATTAATAAAAATAAAAAGTAAACAATATTGTTTATTCAATTTATAAATATGTAAAAATTTGAAATTGATGACAAAATGATTAATTTATTGAATTTTTGTATATTTTTCTAAAGGGGCTGTCTGCGCGTCGAAAGTTGGCAATCATCACAGCGATTTTTAATTTTGAGACAGCGGCTCTAAATAAGTCGTTATTACATGAGTTACGTCTCCTTCCTATGGATCTTTTTCTCCTAATTTTTTCTTGTATAATGACCTGGAGTGTTAGATATTTATCTCCTCTCATCACATGACCCATATATCCCACTTTTCTCCTCTTAATTTGTCAGTTCTTCTCTTTCCTTATGCTTACGTCACATTACCTCAACGTTGGTTATTCCATCTACCCATGAGATCTCTAGTACTCTTCGGTACATCCACATCTCGAATGCCTTCAGTCTCCTCACGTGAATTTTCTTCAGTGTCCACGCCTCCATCCCTCCTCCATATTATAATACGGATAGCACGTAGCACGTCAGCAGTCGTATTTTTAACCTAAGGTTCAAGTTTCTACAGCAGAGAAGCCTTTGTATTCTTGTAAATGTGCTTCTGGCCTGTTTGATTCTGATTCGTATTTCTTGAGAGCTGTCATTGTTTTCATTTATAGTTGTATCTAGGAATTTAAATTCTCTTACTATTTCAATAGGCTGATTCTGTACATATATCTCACGAATGTCCTGAGTTATCTTTGTTATTGTCATATATTTCTTGCTCTGTTGAGTGATGGTCCATATTCTTCTTCGCTTACTGCGGTCACCTAATTAAGAAGTATCTGTAGTCTTCATGTGATTCGGCTAAAAGAACTTTATCATCAGCGTATCTCAGGTTATTTATGATCATGTCATTAATTCTAATGTCTACGTTTCGTTAATCCATTGCCTTACTTAATATGTCTTCCGAGTATACATATTAAATAATACTGGTTTATGTATACCCCTTTGTCGAACAACTCTTTGTACTTCTATTTCTTCTGATGTTATATCTTCTATTCTCACTACTGCTTTTTGGCCATAGTATAAGTAACACAAAAAAGACTGTTTTCAAAAATTTATTAGGCAACTTATAAATTAATTACATAAATAAAATAAAATTCTATTCTGTACGTTTGTATGTATAAAATTATACTTTTAGCAGATAAAATTATAGAAAAATACTGCCAGTGGGGATGTTTTCATAAAGATGTTTCCTTAGACAACTCCATGGTTAAATATTTTGGTCATAACTTAGCTAAACAGTTAATTAGAGAGAAGCCAGTCAGATGTGAATATAAGATTTGGATGATAACTGGTTCCACTGGATATGATTATGGTTTTCACGTTGGTTCCCGAAAAAAAAAAATGGTACTATCAAAATAGACCACTTGAAGCTAAAATAGTAATTGATATTTTGAAACAGTTACCTGAACCATCAACAAATGAAATTTTTTCGATAAACATTTCATGACATATCAACTAATGATATGCCTGAAACAAAAAAATGTAAAGGTAACAGGAACTGTAAAATGTCCAGTAATGGAGAAAGGTAATGAAGAGTAAGCTAATGAAGAAAAATGCATATGATTATAGATTTGACAAAACTAATGAAATTTTGTGTGTGAAATGGTATGACAATAGTGTTCTATGTTATCCAATTATGATACCATTGAACCACTAAGTCAAGTAAATACAAAGGTCGCAATATGTGAAAAAACTATGTGTATTGAATGGTGTTTTGAAAAATACCATATAAATACCTAATGTCCCCGTTACGCTGAAATAATCAGTAAATAAAACAATTTTATTTTCAGGGTAATTTTCAACTTACTTCACGAACAGCAGAAATTGGTAATAATGTTTGTCCAGCTTCATTTTCCAATTGAAAATATTTAAGCAATTTTAATATTCGAACTTGTTCTTTTTCCGTATATCTTGTCATCTTGTACAAATATAAATAAAACCACAATCACAATACTATGTAAAACAAAATACAAAATAAAATTATACAAAACAAATACCAAAGAATATAAATATATTATATAGCGTCTATATTCTTTGCAAATACTGACCTGAACGACAGCCGTCACTTGCTGTTGGAACACTTCGAAAGAATGGCCAGCATGGACAACATTTTACATCAACTGTCAGTAATAGGCTTATTTGATTGGCTAGAGAAAGCGCGCATCTAAATATCAATGAATCAAACGTAGCTTAGGAAAGAACCTATTATGTATGTAAGCTTATTCTAACGCTGCAATATAGTTCTGTTTAATCACCGAACTACCGCTTCTCTCCGTCACATCCAACTTAATGCATTAGAAAGAAATCGAAAAACTGTGACGCACTGAAAATTACCTCTGGGATTTTCTATACCTATCTATGCCAAAGATTATAATTTGAAACCAGTTTCGGGATTTGTCTTCAAAGTTGCATGTTTTCGATAAAATGAATTTATTCCATAATTTTGGCCCACAGTGTATATGGTTTTAATAATTTTGTTGTTTCATATAAATGGTGTGAATGATATGTGATAAAGTGGTATGGGAAACATTGTACATAGATTTCATTATAAAAACTAAGATCTTTCTCTGTCGGAGAAGTATTTCTATTCATTTGCTTCGTATTTGTTGTTCTTGTAAAGTGTTTTCATCGATTCAAAACGAACGTATCCTGAGGTTGCTGCTATTCTCTGTCTTACATAACGCAATGTTTTTTTCCAAAACATTCCGTGTTTTGATTTCTTACAACCGTTTATGCTCGTAAAGCCTTTCATTATGGTCTCCCAACCTAGAAGCTAATTCATTCAAGGAATCTTCACTAAACTTATGGACAAAAATATCGAATATTTTGAAAAGTTTATTTTGACGATTATTTAGCGTAGTGTCATTCGTGCATTTTATCATAAAAAAAAATTTAAGTAAAGGAAAAACCATAGTAATTCGGATATTTTTAGTTTAATTTATTAAGTTTAATTCAATAATCTTATGATTTAACCAAGTTTAAACCAAGTATGCCACCAGTTCAACACTGCGATGAAGCCCAAGCAGTACAGATTGTAATTTTGTACGAGGAAGGATATACACAAAAAGATATCGCACGACGTCGTAAGAGAAGTCAATCTATAGTTTCGAATACTTCAAAATGTACCGTAAAACGAGGAGAAGTGATACAGTTTTCAAGTTCAAAATGCATTGACAGCGACAAATTTTATTTTAGTCGACTTTATACTCATGATTTTATCGATCTACCTTCAGACTATCTAATCATATGATCAAATTTTATTTTCAAAAATCTTTACCTTTTTCATTAAAAAAAATCCCTTGTATCACTTCACCCTAGGTAAGTGGGTGAAGTGATACACCATATAAAATAAATTTTGTATTACTCTCTAAAAGGGTGAACTGAGACACATAGTATATTTTAAAAAAACTTCTTATTCAAGAAAAAGTAAAAAACATTTCAGTTCCACGGATTCCAAGCGTGCTGAGAAGGATGCAAGCAGTAATAAGGGCTACAGGAGGGAATACTCGTTACTGGTCATGTACTTGTTTTAGTTAAAAAATAGCCGTATTTACCTAACAATTAGTATTGTTTTTGTTACAATTTGCTCCGCATAAAAACCTAAAATTGTTTATTAAACATTGATAAATAAAAAAACATAAAAACCTAAAATTGTTTATTAAACATTGATGAAATAAACTTTTCTTCACAATAAACGGTTGAATTGATCGGAATTTATTTTCAAAAAAAAATTAGAAAATTACAAAATATTCGATATTTTTGTCCTTGAGTGTATTATCTGAGCAAATGTAGCTGTAAAAATGGGTGACTCTAGTAAGAAATCATAGTATCACAAAAATGCCTTCCGAAATCGTACACTGATTGAACCTCTAGATCTAGATCATACGATTTCTTGATTATAATATACTTGTTGTTCTATTGTCTTGGCACTCGTTATTCGGGGTTTTATTAATGTTTTCTACACTGGATCATTTGGATGTTTAAAATTAAATAAGAAGGGTGATGACTCTATACC